GAATATGTTATCAGCAGTCAAACATACAAGTCTACATGGTACAAATTCACCATCTTACTCTCTTTACTACTACCACTGACTATTTTCATTTTTATTAAATTAACAATATCCACTCTTGTGATAAATATTTTGTAGATTCTAAACAAATTGATTTAGCTATACCAGATGGATTACTTGAATAAGTTAAATCCTGTCACTTATTATGTATTATTCATTTATTTTTATTTATCTGGCTACTATAGTTTAAATATCTTGAGTAATGATATTATATAATAACTTTGGATTTTTTTTTTTCATTTTGAAATTTGGATGTCAAATATGCAACTAAATAAAAAATAATAATTTTTGAAAAAATAAATGTAATTTTTAATAGTCATTGTTATCATACATACATAACTGCAGTATTGTTTGTCTCTTACCTTTTCAAATCAATGGTTTCATTTTTTTTTAGCATTAACAAATTGAAGTGATGTATTATCAATATATCATATAATATATATAATATATAAATAATTTATTAATACATGTATCTGAATAATTTAAATATAATAAAAACTATACCTAAATTATCAAATAAAAAGCCAATACAGTATACTGATTGTGAGTTTTGTTGAATCAAACTTCTGGCCTTATTTGGAAACCCTGATCTGAAAGCTTTGATGTTTCCTCCAATAGAAAGGGCACTATGAGTATATTAAAAAATAACACCTTCAATAGATAGCTAGGTTCTTCTTGTATTGGTACTAGCCAAATTGGTGCTTGAGAAAAGAAGAAATTTTCAAAATTAGAACCAGATACTGGCCACCAAAAATGCAAACATCTATCAAAAACCACAACCTTGCCATTGTGAGATCAAAATTCACATCTCACACAAATCCCTTGATTTGGTTCAAATAATATTTATTTTGTTTTATGGCAGTATCCAATTAGTTGATTTCTTAATTACTTTCTCTTACTAATAGCACTCAAGCTATTTAATCTGTCTACAGGGCAAGTTTTATTACTTCCTGTCCGGTAACATTTTCTCGGTAGTCCTTTGTTATCTGCCTGAGCCGACACGTCTAAATGCATATATAATATCCTAAGTATCCGCCGTGATACTTTCTACACTTATTAATTATATTTTATGGCTCAGTATCTTTTACTGACCGCACCTAGCTAGGATTTCCACTATTTAAGTGTTGGCTTAATCCAAATAAAAATAAAGAAATAAAATTAAAAGAAAATACACACACAACTATACTTATCAAAGGCGTCCCCTTGGTAAGTTAGTAATTAATTAAGTAATTGAGTTAGAGTGAAAGGTTTATGTGGTTTTGGAAGCAGGTGGATTATTTCACTGGCAAGAAATTATTTTTAAGAGATATTTATGTTCGTATTTTTATTATTAAGATATTATTGTTATTACAAGATAATAGTTAAGAACTAATTAACTGAAGATTCCATGAAAAGAGAAATTTACAACGTATTTATACATGTTAAAAGTTCTATCATCTAGTTTGTTACCAGAATTATATCTTGAAGATCCAAATCAAAAATCGGGATTCTGATTGTAAAATTGTGTGATCAAATTTTTCAAATTTTAAAATCGTAAAAAAATGCCATTTGATACAACTTCTTATTCATCATCTGATTCGATTTCCTCTGATTCAGAGTGTGAAAGTGATTCAATTGAATTTGAAAATTACTTGGCCATTGAAGCAACAACAATTCAACATCATTTATCTAGAAACAAAAAATATGAAAAATGGATGCTTCCAATATTAGATGCAAGAGAAGTAATGATGAATCAACAAAATTTTGAATGGTCGACATTATTAAAATGTTTGTATATATTAAAACAATTATATATATACTTAATATTTATGGATTTTATTTATTTATAGCATTACAAACACTTGATACTGCATTAAAAAAAAATAATATGGCTTTGGATTTATTTAAACCGATATTTGGTACATTAATTATTATTTTATTATTATATATATATAATTAATTAATGATTTTATAATCTATCTTGCTTTCACTCTTACTCACACTCTCGCACTCATCCAATTAATTATTTAATATGTTTAGTAAGATTTCTTAATGATCTTGAGAATTTTATTAAAAAGTTACCACATGACAAAGAATATAGAAAAACATTGAAACATTCAGAAGCAAAAGCATGCACTATAATACAACAAAAATTAAAACAAATGGTTGAATCATGGAATTCAATAATACAAGAACATAATCAAGTAATCAAAATATATATATATTATTATTGAAAATAATTATATGATTTTTTTTTTAGAGAGAGTTCTGACAATAATTAAATTTATAAAATTAATTGAAAAAAAAAAGATCAAACCACCAATTCCAATTACATCTAAAAATCAATATATTGTAGATGAAATAGAAAAATTCCTAATGATTTCACCACATAATCATATCTCATTCAGGGGATTAAATCTTACAAAATATCCACAACATATGAAAAAATTAAATATTGTTTTAAATTATTATTATTCCTTCTCACCAATTATTATGGATAAAAATTTATCTGTTCATTCTTTAACCATTTTGGATTTATCTAGAAATAAGTTAAAAGGTAACAAATATATGTGTGTGTAGATTCACACGCATATACATAAATATATAGGAAAAAAACCATTCATAACTAATATTATTTTTTCTTTTTTTTTAAAAAAAAAGTTTTTGCTCATGAAATCTTATTTTTTAGGAATTTAAAAGTTTTACGACTTGCCAATAATTTATTTCAATATTTTCCGCCATATATTACAAGGTTAAACTCATTTACAGTCTTACTTGGAATTAAATTTAATCCATTAAGAAAATCAAATGTTTCTAAAATCAATTCAGAGTATAAAATATCATCATTATCATCACCACTAAATAATAATGATGGCAATAGTGAAGGGAATTGTGAAAAAACAACAACAACAAAAATACCCTCATTATGTGATTTATGTGCTAAAAAAATCATTCAAAAAAAAGTTCCACTTGTTGCTAGAAATTATAACAATGAAGAAGACGAAAGTGATGATGATTATGACGATGAAAAGTTCACTACTGACATATTTATTTCAGATTTTATAATAGATTATGTTCAAGATGGGTATTTGTGTGAGTGTTGTAGAATGTTTATATCAACTTCCTCGCCATTATATTTGCCAAAAATTATAGAATATATGAACTATTTATGGAACTTGGAAAAAAATGATGATGATGATTTACAAAGATTTAACAAAAATGGTTATAATAGTTATAATAATGTGATTGTTGATTCAGAAAAATCAACTAATGTACCATTGCTTAGAAGATTTTGTATGAGGTGTTGGAACATCCACCATTATTATGGAAATCAAAGCTGTAATTGTTTAACTTGCAATGTTGAGAGAAAAGGTAAAATTAATAATAATATCACGTGGACAAGGGCAACTACTTCATTACATTAGATTAGATATTTATTTTTGTTATTTGTTTTTATTTTTTGTAAATAAAGTAAAAAGTAAAAAATGCTTTTAAAAAAAATATATTTTATACTGACTGAATAAGGCTTTTTTTTCAATTATTATTTTTTCCTATTGCTGTCTATATATACTAATTCTTAATTAGAAAGTTTTAACCGTTTTGATGGTGATTTTAATGCTATATCATAATCATCCTCGTCTTCACATTATCGGTTTTATTGACAATGCCACCTCCCGTTGACATTAATACTATGACTACTACTTCTTTTCCATTCAATTATAAAAAGAGTTGAAAATCTATTGTTATATTTTGTTTCTCTTACTAAAGGAGACAGTGATATTGTTGACTAGAAAATTCCTCCACTTCCTCTTCTTGATATAATTATTATCTATTGATTCATTATATCTATATGACCATAACTACTATTATTATCATAATCTGAATAATTCATTAGTTTGATAATAATTACTGCTATTTCTGCCGACACAAGTGCTATTATCATTATTATTTGGACTAGCTTCTACACAAAAAAAGGCACTGACAACGAATATGAAAATAATGACGAGGAAGTTGTAGTTGATAGTGGTAGTAGTAAAGAGAGTAAGATGGTGAATTTGTACCATGTAGACTTGTATGTTTGACTGCTGATAACATATTCTGGCGCGTTATTGTTTTGCAATGCTAGTTGATGTCAATTTAGTTCATTCGGATGTGATTATAGAGTTAACATGTTATTGATGTTATCATTATTAGTGGCCTTGGAGTTGAAGATGGTAGATTTTAATAATGGCGAACGACAATTGTTATAATAAACCAAATTCGATTAGATCTACTACCTTTTTGCAAAACATTTTTCTTATGCTTGCAGAAAGACATGGAAGGAAAACCGTTTAAAAAGGGAGCATAACAATTTCATGAAAACTTTACGGAATATTTTCGTTTGCCGTAAATTTTCATCTACATCCATCTTTTATACTGTATATACGCATTCTTACTTTTTTATTAACAAGTTATTGAGATTGGAACCGGCCAAAACCTTGATCGGTTTTTAACCTTGTATATTAATTTTTTTTTACAAAAAAATGAATGTTTGACGATTTAATAAAATTTCTATTAAATAATGAATAATTCTTATCTCTGCTCATAAATCACTCGTTATATTATTTTTCAATGCAAAACAAATATATGATAATTACGATGACAATAAATTATAATTTACTTCAATAATAATAATAGGTAGTAGATTAATCTCAATTTTACTCCGATAATGTGAATGTGGCTTCATTTCACCTACACTCTAACCTATTTTAACCGGTTCCTCTACAAGTTATTAAACGTGTCTGCATTATCATTTGTAAAAAGAAGACTAGAACGTCTTATATTATGAATTATTAGGAAATGTCGAACGCAAACAGCATTATTGGGCGTTATCTAGTGTGTTAAATTTAAAAACTGTACCACAAACAAATGATAACTATTCAAATAAATTATTGATAACAATTCAAATTAACGAATGATGATAATTCAAATAATAATAATAAACGAATGATGATAATTCAAATAATAATAATAAATGAATGATGATAATTCGAATAATAATAATAAACGAATGATACAATTCGAATGATAAACAAATGATGTCAATTTGAATGATAAACGAATGATGATAATTTGAATTATAACAATAAATGAATGATACAATTCGAATAATAAAGAATGATAACAATTCAAATAATAAAGAATGATAACAATTTGAATAATAAATGAATGATATAATTCGAATAATAAACGAATGATAATAACAATTCAAATAATAAATGAATGATACAATTCAAATAATAAACGAATTATAATATTTGAATAATAAACGAATGATAACAATTCAAACAAAAATTTTATTACGAATAGAAACTCAACTCTATTTCAGAGTCACTAAACCTGGCCAATAATGTTCAAACTAAACTAAAATATACAACTACACTACTTGAGGTGTCCCTATAAGCAATCCAGTAAAACTAAAAGGGGCTCCTAACTAATAATTAAAGGTTGGCTAAACCACAATCATTAGAAAGAGTTATGAATCAATTGATCATGCCAGATTTATTAATTAATGAAAGTATTATTTTTATTACAAAAGTGTTATTATTGAAAGATCAATGTAAGGAAACCCTTTTTCCTTACGTCAAAATACTATACAATTGTTTTAATTATTAAAAAATACAAGTTATACAAGTTATCTTTATTAATTACTGAAATCTTATCTTTTTACATAATATAATATTACCCTTTAAATAAATAAAAATAATACCGGAAAGCCGCAGCACTTAATTTGTAACTCATATTCATAGGTAAAGTCAAAATGTTGCACCAAAAAAGTTAAAATTGTTTTGCCTGATTTGGATACAACTTATAATAAAAAAGCTTCTGCTACATATGTATACCTAAAATAGTCAAAATACTTACCAAAATCAGATATTGCTTCAATTATGATAATCAAAGGCTGTTTTTCTCTCTTCTCTCTGAAATTTTCAAACAAATAATAAAAATTAAATCCTGAATTTTTCTTGGTTCTAAACTAAACAAATTCTACAAAAATTCATAAAATTTTGTAACAATGTTACTTTATACTTTATACTTTATATATTAACAAAAAGTAACTGACATTTATTTAATTGAATCAATTACGAAGAAAATTTCAATTTGATTTGATCTACAAGGGATTGTTGTATGTGGAATTGAAATATTATGGAGTGGGGTGAAATTCTGATTGGCTAATTTGAATTTCACATAATAAGAATTTCATTTTCACGTACAACAGGATCAAAGGAATCAAATTTCAATCAAAATTTTTGTTTCTTTTTTTAAATCAAACACCCAACAAAAGTAAAAAATTTGTTCCCAAAAAATTATGTTATCATAATGATAATTTTATTATCATTGTCATATCATACAACTACACTACTTGAGGTGTCCCTATAAGCAATCCAGTAAAACTAAAAGGGGCTCCTAACTAATAATTAAAGGTTGGCTAAACCACAATCATTAGAAAGAGTTATGAATCAATTGATCATGCCAGATTTATTAATTAATGAAAGTATTATTTTTATTACAAAAGTGTTATTATTGAAAGATCAATGTAAGGAAACCCTTTTTCCTTACGTCAAAATACTATACAATTGTTTTAATTATTAAAAAATACAAGTTATACAAGTTATCTTTATTAATTACTGAAATCTTATCTTTTTACATAATATAATATTACCCTTTAAATAAATAAAAATAATACCGGAAAGCCGCAGCACTTAATTTGTAACTCATATTCATAGGTAAAGTCAAAATGTTGCACCAAAAAAGTTAAAATTGTTTTGCCTGATTTGGATACAACTTATAATAAAAAAGCTTCTGCTACATATGTATACCTAAAATAGTCAAAATACTTACCAAAATCAGATATTGCTTCAATTATGATAATCAAAGGCTGTTTTTCTCTCTTCTCTCTGAAATTTTCAAACAAATAATAAAAATTAAATCCTGAATTTTTCTTGGTTCTAAACTAAACAAATTCTACAAAAATTCATAAAATTTTGTAACAATGTTACTTTATACTTTATACTTTATATATTAACAAAAAGTAACTGACATTTATTTAATTGAATCAATTACGAAGAAAATTTCAATTTGATTTGATCTACAAGGGATTGTTGTATGTGGAATTGAAATATTATGGAGTGGGGTGAAATTCTGATTGGCTAATTTGAATTTCACATAATAAGAATTTCATTTTCACGTACAACAGGATCAAAGGAATCAAATTTCAATCAAAATTTTTGTTTCTTTTTTTAAATCAAACACCCAACAAAAGTAAAAAATTTGTTCCCAAAAAATTATGTTATCATAATGATAATTTTATTATCATTGTCATATCATGTCCATGTCCTATTCTTAATACTATACTTAAAGAAATCAGTTCATTCCCGTGAAACTCTGATTTACTTTTTGGGACATTCTTCAGTTAGGTCGGTTTTATTATCACAATGAATGAATTTTAAAACTGTATATATCCTTTTTGAAATATATTAATAATTTTAATTTAATTGATAAAAACTAATTAAATTGAAATAAATGCTTTATGATAGAAAAAATTAACGGTTCGGTCCCACAGTCTCATTCAGTCTGAATCGGACCATCAACATCCCTACTACTACAGTTTCAAAGTAGCAAGTAAATTACTGGCAGAGCAAACCTGACCCAAAAACCCTAGTTAATTTAAATAAAATATTCCTTGGGTAATTTCAGGCTCTCGTTGCCTAACAATTTGCCAATTTCAGGTTGAGCTTAAATTAAATTAATAATAATATTGACAAAGTAATTTGTACGCACGCGATCTCACAAAATAAAAAGATTTAGAATTTACATACAAAAAAAATCTGAAGCAAGCTTGAGTGTAAATTGTCAAACATTCTGTACGTCATTTTAATGAAAAAGATGGCTTATTCCAAACATCCACATCCACACCCGTGGCACCCGTTATTAAACCAAGTCTTGATTTTGATATTATCAAGGTGAAAATCTAAAAATTGACTCTTTTTCTTTTCCGGGAGTTGACTAAATTTTGATCTCTGAAATTTCTTTGTAACATAATGTCCACCCCACTTTGTTCAGTTTTCCCTTTTTTTTTCAACAATTCATTAGTTTTAATATGATCCCACTTTTCTATCCAAATTTTTTAAGTTAAGGTCTAACTTCACCATCATCTGTTACTATTTATACCATTGATAATGGTGATGATGATGCCAAAAATAATGATGATGATAACAATAATAACGACAATAATAACAATGACGATGATAATAATGATGACGGCAACAATGAAAACGACAATAATGATGGTGACAATAATAGCAGCAGCAACTTACATTAACAATGGTATTAATGATAAAAATAATGGTGGCACTGGTGGCTACGAGAAATTGCCGCAATGCAAACCCTCCCTCTATTCATTTGCATTGGCATGTACATTAACAAAAAGGATAATAAATGGGGATATGAGAGAATTGGTTTGATGAAAGGGACCTACAACGGAGTCACCAAAACAAAAAATCTTGAAACAAATAACCTATCAATTCTAGATAAAAAAAAGGTTTCTTTTAGAGTTAAACTAGTATGTAAACTATATTAGGCAAATGAATGTATTTATTTATTAGATTCCAATACATCAATGATAACCTAAAAAGGACTACAATTTCAACCGTTGGCAAATTGGTACCAGGTGGGAATATTTTTATATTTGGAGGCTATAGAGTTGGAATTTACATATCCAGTTATAGAATCGTCAACGTCATCGTCATTGTCGTTATCAGAATGTTCAAACAATATAAAAAAAAGATAAAAAAAAAGTTGTCAAGAATCGAGCAGCATTATAAAAACTTGAAGACGCATTCGTTGGATCAAGCGATTTTTCAAAAAAAAAAATGAAAATAAAGATAAAAGATCCTTGACGTCCCCAGGAAATAAAAGAAAGACTATTAAGAGAGGAAAGTCTTTTGAAAAAGTTGATGAAGAAATGAACAAGAGCATGGCAATGAAATGGGAACTTGACTAGAGACACACATACACATACACACACACAAATTATCTTAATTCCTTTTAGATCAATTGTATATTTGCAATAATAATGCGTTTGTAATGGTATAGCATACACATGTTATAATAAATAACGAGTGATGAGAATGCTTATTAGTTAATAAAATTTATGTGACGGATTTTCTTTATTTCCTTCAATCGTGTTGCCCGACTAGCATTGAGATGATGCAAGTCAAATATTATCCTGTTCATTATATTGCGACGTTGGTTATACACACGTGTTATAACAACGAGTGATGAAAATACATTTACTAATTAATAAAGTTTGTGTTATCTAACGTTGGATAATATTAAGGAAAAAGGAACCCGACTAACATCGAGACAAGACAAGAAAAAAAAAGTTATTCTATTTGTTTTGTTGTAACATTTGTTATATGCATTTTACAATAACGAATGATGAAAATACTTTTCTTAATTAATTAATAAAGTTTATACAATTTCGTTCCATAATGCCTTCTCATTGATTTTTCATAAAAATACAGGGTTTAACTTTACCTCATATATATGTTGAATGCCAAACTTGAGTAGAGAAAGCTACTTGGAAAACTGAAATTTGATTTTCTCAAATGTTCAAAAAGTACTTTGATCGAATACAAGAGATTGGAAAAAATTAATCGTGATGGTAAAATATTTGTTTACTATATATAATATTAACAAAGTAGGTGATACCAGTGACCTTTTTTGGGAGATGGTGCTTATTGTTTAAATTTAATTAGTTTTTAATAAAATAATAATATCATTAAATTAGCTTTTCAACTATTGGAATTCATTATTACATAATTAATTATGCTAAATTTTTACAACTGAATTATGTTGCTTTTGATTTAGAACAATTGTCATAAATATCTAATGATACCTAATTGTGATGTTTAAAATTTATTTTAGAATATTCAAATATCAGAAAGCTTATTATGAAAAATCATTTAATGATTGTAGAATTACCGCTTGCTTTCAATGCCTTTATGAGTTAGAATATTATTTTAATTTAATGATGATGACAATTCATTATACTTTCGTAAAATTTGTAATTTGAGGAGTATCTCGGAGTAAGTCGATGGTGGTTGGGTTACCCGTGATTGGATTACAACTGGAGGAGATCTATTATACACTACCGATGATTTATCTGGGTGAAAGTATGGCGTTGAAATAATTTCGTCATCATCATCATCTAAATACCAATGTGCAGTTGTAACCCTAGAATTTTTATTATTTTTTGATGGCCTTAAGTTATGGGTTGCATAATCGGTGCCCAAAATGTCAGAGATTAAAATTCGAGGAGGGCTTGTAATTGCAAATTCGCTCAAATTTGAACATTTTTTCAGCCATCCCCAATCACACTCGTCGAAGTTCCATTTTACAAGTTCAAGACGTTTGAAGGATTCAGGCCGGGACTGAAACATTTCAATTAGCCTTTTCCCAGGTCCATTTATAAACACCAACCGAAGATTCATAAAGCATCGCTGGGTGGAGATGAGTTTCTTAAGACAATCAAGAGTTTCTTCAACACGCTCATTAGAGTTGTCATAAAGATTGATATCGAGATGGGACTGGAAGAAATCATTTAAAATATTTACCGTGAGTGATTATGTATTAAAAATGTTAGATGCAATATGCAAATGCAGACTAATATCAACAACATAAAGAAAATTTCTCACTCGGTGCATAGGAGCACCGTTTAGAAGCACAAACATACCAGCCTGGTGCAATTTTTTGTTAATATCTTCATGATATTATTTTTTGGAAAAGGCATATGTATTTCGATGTAGGTGAGAGAATCGAATATTTGGGCATAGCATGACGCTTCTGTCCATATTTCATAATTTACACCATTATTATCCATAATAAAAGTGTCCAGACAAACACCAACGTTTGCTAGCATTTGAAATATTTCTGGGATACTTTGACGCATCCCTACCAACATCAATAGGTTCGTGTAATTGAGTTCCTTAAGAAATGATGGATAATTGTAAAGTCCTGGAGACTTTTGAACTGCTCCCTGTGCAGAGTCCTTTGGCATTTTTTGTTCAAGAAATAATTCATATGTCTTTAGTGCAGCCATGCCCCTTTTTTTTGCATAACTGAATGGAGCTTTCCAATACATTGGAATGGCGACTTGGCACCATTGTCGATTAATCAGAAGTGCTGAAAGTAAATCACGAACACCCAAATGTTTGAGAATCTCTATTATAATATCTGCACATAAGTTTGATTGAACGGATTTCATTATAAATTAATTTTACGAAATTTTTTATCCCGAAACAATCATCAATTTAAATTATTTCTTCTGTTGCACGTGTAACTGGTTCTAACCGGTTCTGTACCAGTTCTACAAACCAGTTCTAACTTGACATGCATGAATGAAAAATTATTATTGTATATATTGTATAACCCTGATAATTTTTACACTTAATACTATTCTTTGTGTTTCTTGGCGTAAATTACATTAAAGGAGTTTCCTGGAATAAAGTCCGATATTCATTCATTTTAATATAAATCAGAGAACTTTCTGCGGAAACATCCCCGAAATTTTTTCTAAATTCGAAATTAATTGAATTTAATTAAATGATTACGTTTCAAAATCTTTTAATTTGTCACATTTTCACGATTTAATTCTTCGCCATGTTCAATCATATCCAAAGAGTTTTATCATTTTGGCACCCCTTTTTTAACTTCCGATTTCTTGTTATATATTAATATAAAAATTTAGCGTTTCCCAAAAAATTTCTTATCGAAAAAAGAAAACTTCGATTTCTGATAGTAACGACTTGTTTACATGACTACACACCAACCTTCTTGTGCTTTGTTAAATGGCTTGGATGATTTTTATCTTGCGATTTTACATGATCTATGTGACCGTGATGCTTATTAATTATCTTTCTTAACTACTTTTATCCTACTGATCTATGTGATCGTAATTAATTGTTGGTTCAACTATTAACATAAAATTTAAATAAGTTCACTTTTTAACCAGTTTATAAAAATCGTCGATCATTACATGTATGAAGTTTGCGTGAATTTTATTAACTAAAACAAAAAAAAATAAGCGTTAGTTATTTATATTACATAAAAAAAAATCTTATTCAATGTTAATATTAAAAAAAACCATCTGATTTAGGTATTAAATCCTATTTTTTCGACTTTAAGTTGTTGCTACGTAATTCTTTGTTTGTTGGAATCGGAATTGTCTGCTTTACTATACAAATCTCTCTTTTTACCAAAGCAGTTAAAGATTTTCTTTTTATTTATAACATTTTGAAAAATAAAGAAACAAAATAAATTAATTTAGAGCTTGAATTAAGTGGATTCAAATCAAGAAATCCAATTTATTGTTTTCTATACTTTGGTACATTAGATCATTATTTATTTATTAAGATTTAAATAATTAGGTTTATTTTTAAGATTAATTAGCATATTTTTTTTTATTTTTAGATCACATGAATTCGTTATTAGACAGTGTTGATTGATATTAATATGAAATGGTTTTCAGAGAATCCGGTATATGTATACAAAATTTAATTAATAATATGGTTGGCTCGGTTTAAAGACTTCCTATTGCTGCGCCACGTGATCAAATTTCAAAATGGCAATTTTGTTATTTGTTCAAATTTTTCAATAAATAGGGCTTCACGTGATTTTAGTTTCTAAAAAAACTATTAAAATTATTTATATCAACTTTTGTTGATGTTTTTGGGTTCAATTCTATTTTTTATTGATAATCAAAAATAAACGGACATACTTTTATTTATTATTTTAGAAAAATTCCATTTTTGTTAACAATAAATCATGATGTTTCGAGTATGATAACCAAAAATAAATGGACATAATTCCATTTTTGTTAACAATAAATCATTGGTGTTTCGGGTACGATAACCAAAAAAATAAAGGGACATACTTTTTATTTATTATTTATTATATTAGAAAAATTCCATTTTTTGTAAACAATGTTTCGAGTATGATAACCAAAAATGAACGGACATATTTTTTATTTATTATATTAGAATAATTCCATTTTTGTTAACAATAAATCATTGATGCTTCGGGTACGATAACCAAAAAATAAAGGGACATACTTTTTATTTATTATTTATTATATTCCATTTTTGTTAACAATAAATCATTGATGCTTCGGTATGATAACCAAAAACAAATAGAAATATTGTTTGTTTATTATATTAGAATAATTCCATTTTTTGTTAGCAATTAATCATTAATGTTTTTGGTACGTATAATCCTATTTTTATTGATAACTAAAAATAACAAACGTATTTTTATTTATTATCATTTAATGATTTTATTAAATGGTCCAGATATTCAAGATTTTAATTTTGAAAAAGCATATGAACTACATGCTTTAAAAAAGAATAGAACTCTACAACAAATAATTTTTTTGAGAAAATCTCTCTATTACATTAAAACTAAAGGCATATTCTATCAACTAATAGAGCTATTTTTTTAAAAGGTAGGACGGAAAATGACTTCTATACTTTTAAACTTTGCCCAAAATTTAGAAGGTCTTTAAACCGAGCCAACTATATCTGTTATAAAGAGAGATTTCAAATAGTAAAAAATCGGGACAAAATTTTAAAGGAAAATCCGTTATAGAATGATCCGTTATTATTATAGAGAGAGTAGACTGTAATCTGTTTTGTAATAAACATTTTCATAATTTAATAAAATAAGATAATTCTTGCTTCGCTTAATAAAAAACACTTTTGTAGTATATAAAACTCTGAGGTTGGTATTAATGTTAACAACGGGTAGTAAGGTTTTTGCTTTGGTATAAAGCACCGCTTAGATTTTGCTTTAAGTTTTTGTAAAAGAGTGTTGTTTACCAATCATAAAATTCCGACATTTACCAACTAAAGACATTCCTTTAATCAAGCGGTCTTTTCAACAAAAATAAAAAAAAGATCCTTGGCGTCACCAGGAAATGAAAGAGAAACCATCAAGAAGGAAAAGTTGTTGAGGTTATCTTTCCAACATTTACTCTGAAAGGAAACAAATTATTTTGAGATCGACGAGAAAGAGTTCACAGAAAACAATTCCGCTTGAAAATGCCTTCTCATTGGATAAAAAAATAACCTTTACATTTTCAATTTCAGATCAGTTCCTATTTTATTTCAATTAAAAAAGGCTCGATATTAATGTTTCTAACTTTATTCTGTTGAGAATTATAATCACAAAATTTATTATTTTTGATATTTATCTGGATTGGATATGTATCAGATTATATTTGTTTGCCATAATACTGTATTCTGCGTAGAGATGTGCCATTCATAGTAACTGTGATTTTTTTTCGCGCATAGTGTGTATAGTGCGCATGGTAGCATAGTGCGCATAGTGTATATATATTATAGGGAGGGAAATATCATAAATGCGCATATAATAATAAGAAAGTAGTTGGCATATTAATTTTTTTTTAGAAATGTTTATTAATAAGTAAATGTCTATAAAAAAATATATCTAAAACCTTATGCGTAGCACACTATGCGTAACACACTATGCGCAGCACATCTCTAATTCTGCGTAATTTCCACGGTTTTGATTTTTTCAAAAAAAAAAACGAACCCATAGTCAAATGATTAATAAATACCAATTATTATATTAATTTTGTTATTTTGTTATCATTAAAAATACTAAAATTAATTAGTGTTTTCATTCACTCTTGATTAAACCAGTAGATTAATGTTATTAAAAAGAATTAATTATTATTATAAGCAGATGACTTGGATGAAATTTGGCTGCTTCCTTTTAGATGATTTTCAGAAAAATCTTAATAAAAAATCAATGATTAGGGCTCAAAGGTGATATCAACTGATGTTGATCTTCCTGCTGAGGTTGTATTGGCCGAAAAAACATTTGTTGCTTGTACTTTGTTACCTTTTCGCAAAGGTCATTGATGTTTCTCATTGACTTCTCAACCAATTCCTATAATAGAAGCCCATTGGCTAGCCTATTTTGAAAATCTATATGAAAAAGGAAAAATCCAATCTGATCAGCGCAATATATTTATTATTACTATTACCAAATTTTTAGCTGATCGATATTCTTTATTTTTTAGGGTATTGGAAGCATTTGATTACATTCGGATCCGGACACTTTACCGACACCCACTTTACCGACAGGACACTTTACCGACACCCACTTTACCGACAAGGTACTTTACCGACAGGACACTTAACCGACAAGACACTTTACCGACAAGACACTTTACCGATAAGTATTGTGTTAACAATTTGCCAAGGACTGTGTGAATACCTGGATAACTAGTTAAAAATTTGGTTTTTTACAACAAATTAAATCAACCGTTAATTAGCTAATACACCACTTATTATCCTTACTTTGCATCAAAAACAAGTTCATAAAAATACAATCTAGATACATGTATAATATATATTTTTTTTGTCTGACGAAATTGATAAAAATTGCATATTCATGTTATTTTTTTTATTAAATTTATTTATCAAAAACTTTTATTGTGACACATTAATTATTATTATTTTTATACACAAAAAATTTTTTAAAAAAATAACAAAAAAAAATTTTAAATGAAATATTATGAGCAATGCCCCGAAGAAACTTTATAGTTGATCTAATGTTACGGTCATTTAATACTGTTTGAATCCATATTTCACGATTACGATCTTGTGGTTTCTGTGAGGGTCGTGGTGTTCCTCGCAAGACCATTTCTACGTCAAGTTCGACTTTACTTAGATTGTCGGTAAAGTGTCCCAGACCCGATTACATTATATCTTCATTAGAGATCAATGCTTTGGTACGTTCTACTTTATTTTATTGTTTCAAAGAAAATCTATATTCATCATAAATGATTATTTTTTATGATCTCAGAATGTGAAGAAATCAAACCTCGTAAATAGAACAAAGAAGTTCGAATCACCACAGGATATGGAAAAACCTTGGCTCAGTGATGCAAGGAAGAATTTCGAGATACTGGAAAATGGAGTGCATAAGGTTTATGTCTAAGATAACCAGTCTTTTTTGCTTTCAAGAAATTATGAATGCAGAATTTTATGTTGAAATATTGGAGAATCATCACCCAGAGATCCAAAGAATGTTAGGGGATGATAAAGCTTGTACTTTTTTGGTTGTCTTTCTAATGATTAATATACGAATTTAGTTGGCATTGGTATCATCAGGGGATGAAGAAATTATGTGTAAAACTGTAGAGGGAGAATTGCAGAAAATAAACTTGGAAAATTTAGG